TCCCAAAGGAAAGAAGAATTGGTAATTTTATGATTTTGTACAGACATCTTGAAAACACTGGATCTATAATTCAAGCTCTTCTAGCATTCAAACGTTTACATCCGGAGCATCGGGAAAAAGAAATAGAGATTTCAGTGGCAAAAGCAGTACGTTTCCTTGAAGAAAAGCAATGGCCCGATGGTTCATGGTGAGTACGTAGTTTTGTGTTGACATTGCTTGACTAAAGTTAAACGAGAAAAAAGGGAAAATAGTCCCTTTACTTGTAGGAGTAAGAATGCGTACAGGACTAGCCTAAGAATATTTGAAGTCTTAGGCAAAAATTTTAAATGGGGCGCTAAATTATTTTTAGATGAATAATTTGTTTTTTTATTTTATTTTTAAATTTTAAATATTTAACTTCATATCTTTTAGTAAGAATATTTAAGGTGGAAAACAACTTTCAAATTAAGCACATTATGTAAATAATTATATTAAGATCAAGATTAACTTAAAAATTACAGCTCAAAAAAATAAAACTGAATAAATAACTCAGAGTTATTGGGAATTCATATTAAGTTAGAGAGTAGATTTTTATAATATTTTTGAATGTACATATATTTATGATTTCAAGAAAAAATATTAATAAATTTTATTAATCATGTCACGTAGCATCCTAAATTTTTTACATTCTTTTTAGAAATCGGTCATATAATTTTATGAGACATATGAGAATGGGCCTCATGCGACTGCCTCACTTGCCTAGGGGTGGAACAGGCCTGAATGCGTATAAATGATATTTTTTAGACCTTGTAATAATAAGAGTCTCGTACATTAAACTGTAAAGTGAGAATTTGTTCTCTAATATACAATAAACTTAGCAGGTATGGCTATTGGGGAATATGGTTTCTCTATGGCACCTACTGTGTGCTAGGAGGGTTGGTTGCTGCCGGGAAGAATTATGAAAACAATTCAACGGTTCGTAAAGCTGTTCAATTTTACCTATCGACCCAAAATGAAGAGGGTGGTTGGGGTGAGAGTCTCGAGTCATGTCCAAGCATGGTAACTATCACACCTATTTTTCTCATCTTTGGGGTTTGTTTGCAAGGAAAACCAAAAATAAAAAGTAACATTTTCACAATTCACACAACATACGCCTTCATTCTTTTGTCCTTCGCTCCTACGAGCAAAAACAAAACTCAAATGACACTTCAAGTAGCTGGGCAGGAGGGGGTACATGGACTCTAACTCAAGATCCAATGCTCGACTCTTGCATTAGTTGGATTGATGCGGTAAATTTTGTAGGTCATTGCGTACATTCACAAAAGCGCACGTGGCTAGGAAGATTCTTTGTAATAGAAAAAAAAATAATACAACTCTTTTAGTTAATTCTAAATAATCTCTTATTTATGCGATGAACAGAAATACATACTGTTGGAAGGAAATCGAACAAATATAGTGCAAACATCATGGGCTATGATGGGTCTTATGTATGCTGGACAGGTTAGTATTAATCTTCGATTGAATAATAAACTTACAAATTTTTATTTGGGCAAATGAGAATTATTTGAACTCGTGGTTGATCTGTAAACTTCGGATGCGCAATCATTCCGAATTTCGGTAGCAGCTACGAATCCAAAGGATGCATAGTTTGAAGGGTTCTTGACTATTAAAAAAAGATTGCATATGTCATTCTTTATATTTCTCACAGTAATTATTTTATTCCTTTTCATTTCGCCTTATTAACTAGGCCAAGAGGAATCGAACACCTTTACATAGAGCAGCAAAGTTATTGATTAATGCACAGATGGATAATGGAGACTTTCCTCAACAGGTATGTTCTAGAAAAAATGGCTTTTTGATATTGTTTTAGGGGTATGTACTCAATGCATGAGATTCATGTAATTGTAAGGTTTAGAGAGGGTTAGATGTACACAGTCTTATCCGTACAAACAGAAAGACTATTTTTGTGACTCTAACCTGTGACCTTCAAATCACAATAGAGCAACTTTATCATTGCACTAAGACCCACCCTCCTTTTTGATATTATTTTATTGGTGCTTAATTTTGGTTTAATTACACTCTCAACATATTCTTGTTTCCCATCATAATCAATTTATTCGTACAGGAATTCTTGGAGCCTACATGAGGAAGTGTATGCTACATTATGCAGGGTATAGGTGTTATTTTTCACTTTGGGCATTAGCTGAATATCGTAGGCGTGTTTGGTTGCCTTCACATAACATCTAAATTTAAGTACTTCCTGTATTTTATTTTTTGATTTATTGGAAAATTATACTCTCACCCTTTCAACTATGACCTTTTTTCATTTTACCCCATTTAGTATCATGTCTTTCATATTGTGCTTCAACCATGTGAATATTTTCACATCATCTCAATTATTAACGTCCATTACAAATTTGACGAAAAGTTGTTTTATCGTGTCTCCCGAACTATGTAATTTTTTTCACATTGCTCCTACACATTGACAATTTTCATTCAAAAAGATAACAACCTTTTGTATTTCGGGCAATATGAAATAATTTAAGTAAAGGAGTGGGCAGTGTAAAAATATAATAATTTAATGGACAAACTGAAATTGAATCCATAGTTAAGGGGGTGAAAGTATCATTCTCCATATTCTGATTTAATACTCATATCTATATATAATCAACGGATCAAAAGGATGTTTATTTCTTTCTTTCGAATAAAAAATGTAAAGAGAGCTTGCATCCTCAATTGAATGATTAATAATACTACTAAAGATTGTTTTACGTTTTAGAAGTATATCTAGCTACTTATTTTTAATTAGTTTTGAGTTTGATACTTTAACATAATATCTGAACTAGATCTAATCAAATCTCTTATCCATTTAATTTTTTTTGGTATTTATGTTTGTCTTTGTATGTTAACCCCACATGTTAAAGGTCCGATGTAAGGGCATAAAAAGGACTTTGAATGTCACGTCAAATGATGAACACCACATAAAATTGGGCTACTGGTTCAAGTCACATCACCGTCCATTATTAATTAATTTTAGGTTGGATAGTTGAACACACACCCAAAAAAAAAACTATTAGGCTAAGGTAGTGTTTAACAACATAAAGTTTGTGTTTTTTTTTTTTTGCTAAAAAAAAAAAAAACCAATAACCCATTTGAGATGTGTTTCCATTTTTTTTTCTGTCCCGTTTTAAAAACAAGGTCAAAATATGAAAACATCAAAAAAAATGTTTTTGAAAACATCAAAAAAAATATATATATATATATGCGCGCCTCAGTCCCACTCTTTAATGAGATCTTACTTTCGAATCTTGTTAACACAAAAATTTAAGATTTTTGGTTGAAAGTATAAAAATGTATCTCTTCTATCTACTACTCTTCACCTAACTGTTCTCTCGCTCGTCTTCTCTCTCTGCAAAGAACCAAAGAGCTGGCTCTCATCTCGTTCTCGTTTTTTGTAGAAAAACTCATATTCTCTCCCTCATCTTTTTTGGTGGTGGTTGAATGACTGATGGTGGTGGATTTTGCTTGATTTTGGTGTTAGATTTCGGTGGTGGTGGGTTTCAGGGTTACAGGGGGGTTGTAGCCTTGTGGGGTTGGGTTTCGGTGGTGGTGCATTTTGGAAGTAGGCGATAGGTTTCACAAAGGGGTTTATAGGGGTGGGTTTCAATGGTAGTGGTGGGGTAAGGAGGTGGTGAATTTCAAGAGAAGGATCGTGGAAGTGAGTTTCAATGGTGGTGGTGGGTTTTGGGGTTACAGGGGGTTGTGAGTTTCAAAGTTCCAGGGGTGGTGGTGGTGGAGTTGGGTAGTGGTTAATTTCAGGGTAAGGGTTGTGAGGGTAAGTTTCGATGGTGGTGGTGGGAGTTTGGTGGTGGTAGGTGATTGGGTCTTTGGTGGTGTTAGGTGGTTGGTGGTGGTGTTGGGGTGGTGAATTTTTGATATAATACAAAACATATTGTTTTTTTTTATATTTTTATAATTTTTTAAATATAAATGACAATCAACACATGTTTTATATTTTTTATTTTTATCAAAAACAAAACAAAAATTAATTTTATAAAAAAAAACATAAAAACAAACGCACCCTAAAATATTATAGGCATAAAGCACCACTTGTTGTATAACATTTGGATGCCAAAAGTTAATCTTTATTATATATAAGACTAAATAACATATGTATACAAATTGTATATTTTTAATACCATCAATGGGTACTATTAAGCCAATTTTAATACCACCTGAGAGGTGACATTATAATTCAGTCTAAAAATATTATTTTGTTGTTTTACTATTTTATCCACAAAACTACCGTACCCCAAACAGTTATGTCTCTTCCCACAACCACCTTCATCAGTTCATGTCTCTTCTCTGATCTCCACTTTTATTCTCCACAAAAATCCCTCCCCTTAGTTCGGCAGAGATCCTTCCCGTTCTTTATTAGTCATCAACCGAGTAAGGTAATTTTTTTTATCATTGATTGTTCGTAGACTAAACAAACGTAAGATTAGACAAGATAGCTATTATCTAGATCTTAATCTAATATCATATTATATATACAAGATAGAATAGAAAATATTTTTTTTTTTCTTTTATTAATCTTATATTTTATTCACTTATGCAGAAATAGTAATTCAATCCCTTTTTTTTATCAATACAAGAAGAAGACGAGCCCTATAGGTAAACACTGATGCAAGTCCGATGATATCTAGATTTCACACTGAGATTTGGTAACCCAAAAAGATTTTTTACACCCGTGGATGAATTGCTGCTGAATCAAATTTGCATACCCATCTATAACGAGCCCTAAAAGAGTTTATTGATAGAAACTATCATACATATATATAAAGAGAGAGAGAGAGAGAGAGAGACATTTTCTAGTAGACTCTTATTTTATTTTTCAAAATTTTATCATATCGTTTGATATATGTGCTTCCTAGAATTTAATAATTGAGTTTACATATTAAATACAAAAACAAACACAAGCAACTACCTCAATATGTATCCACCACAAAAGATTATCACTGTCACTCAGTCCACAAACTGGGCAAGTCCTCCATCGGCGGCAGCTCCAGCAACGACCTCTCCAAGTCTTTAAATGATGCTTCCTTGCATAACCTCAAACCAGCACCAGCACCAGCACCAGCACCACTGCCGCCACCACATTTTCTTTTCCTTTGACCCACAAAAGGTTTCTCTACCGTGCATGCAACGCCGGAATCCTTCCCAGTAAGGCTCTGGACAACCGATTTGAAGCTCAATTGATCAGTTTCGACGTAACGCGTATTGATAATCACCACTTTCACTGGCTCACGGTCACTGCTCAGACCCGCCATCGATGACCTTGTTCGAACTTCAACTTGCTCTCTTCCTTCTTAAACGAATTGTTTGCTGATTTAGGGTTTTCAATATTTTTTGGGTATTTTTCTGAGTTTGAAATGGATCTTGTTTTATAGGGACTTTGGGGTTATTGGAGTGAAGAAGCAAGTGCGACTGTGCGAGGACTAGGGTACAAAGGCGGGGCTTTGAGCCTGTTGACCGTCAGTGGAAGGTAGGGACTGCGGGACCAGTTGACGGCTATTAGGCAGGCAGTCTTGAATGACCGCAGACAAGTCATGGGTCAAAGCACGCAGTGTGTGACTACGAGGAAAAAATATTGGCGGAAGCCGTTACACCACGTATAACTATTTTATAGCGTAAATATTGGGTATAATGGCAATACGATAGATTTAAAAAATAAATATGATAATTATGATTATTAATTTCATTGTAAATTTTAATATTTATTGAGATCTGCTATCTATTCAATGATTATGATTATTACGTTTATTTTTTAAATTCATATAGTATTACTTGCTTACAAATGAATAAAGTGAACCGCACTTGAGTAATTATTATATTAAAGAGTAATTTTATTTGTACTTAAAAATTTGATCTAATTTGCTGATATATTGATATGACTTAGTGAAATCATTGAATTAATACTAAATTTTAATATTTGATGGAGCCTACAATCAATTCAAATGTCATACTGAATTAGATCAGCAAATAAAAATCAGTATCATACCCTTATTATAAATTTTGTACTTTTTTATAATTTTTAAAGGTAATTTATAATTTCTATGCTAACTTTGCAATCAATTCTAAAAAAAGTTTTTAGAATCTATCTTAAAAATGTTAAGATCGATCGTAAAATTACAACAAAAATGATAATTTAACCCAAAAAAAATTATAATATGACTCCAAAAAGTTATATATATTTTTTATTATAAACAAACTTAAACCTTTTATATCTCCGGAAAGTTTTTTATTTTTGGTAGCGTAGTCTTTGTGTGAGCTGTTCAATCAGTCACACAGCAATGTTGAGCTCGTCTTGTGGCCAAAAGCCAATTGCATTTTCATGTTATCGTACATAGGGTCCACAATTATTAGGATAATTAATTCGACATGGAATTAATTTAATGTACGCGTTTAATTTGTATAAATTCGGATCATAAATGTGTTGACTTGTCCAACAATTTTAAATATATCATACAAAGTCCAGCTGAAATACTATTAATGGACAATGCCACCAAATTGATTATAAATAAATTGAGTATAGCAAATTTTCAAATTATACATTTTGAAAAAAATGAAAAACACGACCCATTAAAAATCGTATTACTTTTAAATTGTCATATTTTGATTTTAAAATGATTTATTTGCTCTAAATATCGTAGTTTGCTAATTTCGAACAAGTTCAAGGACCTAACAAAAGTGATCATTGAACTTACTAAATTTAAATATAATTAATTAAACTTTATTGAAAATTGAGAGAAGTTGGAATTTGGGAGTTGTCGGGTCGAACAACTAAAACCAACATGGGGTAAAAACAATTTAAGTTTGTGGGAATTTTATCTGAAAATATGCAAATTAATGATTGACTATCAACCCCATGTTTTGATTCATTTTGCATTTCTATAAGGTGCATTTATGTCTTTGTAAGTCCCAATTTGATTTAGTGTATAATTTCTTGAAAACAATGCACAAACTAATTAATTAGCCCTCACAGCATGAACTTGATTTGACACGATTCACTTCAACTCAAAAAATATAACTTTTTTTTCTAGCATAATGAACATAGAACTCGTCATGGGGTGGCCATAGCCGGGTTAGGGCCGAACTAGAAATAACAATCTATTTGTCCATGCTATTGAGCCAATTTTATTGTGCTATTGGGCCAAATTCTTGTGACACAAGCTTATACCGTAACGCCCCAAATTTTATCATTTGAGCATTACTAACTAATAAACATTCATACCATTAGAGACACTAATAATAACCATAAACAATAAGAAATATATTTATCATTCATAACAGCTAAAGCATAATTCAATACTAATATGCGAAACTTTGGGAATTACATACACAAGTAAAAGGTACTAATCATCTAAGGAATGTTTAATACATCAATAAACCCCAATTAATTAAAATCCCTTAGTTAAAATAACATCTCTAAACATCCGCTTTGAGATCCCCATCATTGTCAATCTCAACTTCCCAATTTATCTGCTCCTCTAGGCAAAGATCTTCCTCCAGTCTGAAATCTGAAAAATATTAATTGTAAAGGGTGAGTACTAAACTCTGTAGCAACTTTCTCCAAAACCCGCACGAGGTTTTAAAACATATAAAAACAGGTTGTCTCACTTTACAAAATCATATATAATCTTTGAAGTAAAACTTGAACATTTATAAGATCTCAAGTTTACAAAGTTAAGCTCAAACAACAATAAATAAACAAACCAATACCCAAGAAATAATATTAACATCAACAACATATATCATCTATGCAGGCTTGACTATAGTGAATCTATACAATTTTTTTAAGATCTCAAAGTAACACCTCGTAGGGTCACATCACAAATAACTTCAAGAAGGGCATATATTAACGCATCGGTAGGGACGAATCCTTCCCAGGATTATTTTGTACCAACCCTTAGCCTTGATCCACCTGAACAAATAGTGTTTGGAACCCCACGTGGAACCAATCTCCTACGAGTGATAAGAAACCATGGTACCCCTTAAGGTCTCATAAACATCTAAACATTCTATGATATCCGGTTAAAAATAACTCACATACATCATACCCCAACACAAGAGATAATTTCCAATACCTTTCATCAAATCATTTTCTCAACTGAATAATTCAAGAAAACATGTAAGAGATTTTCAAATCATAATTTATTTGATCAAAATCAAGAATTAGGATTGAAATTCAAGAACTAGTGAGTAGCATGTATAAAACCTCTACTTATTCAAAGTCTAGGGTTTCAAAAGTAAGAAAATAGTTTTAGCATTATAAAACATAAATCCCATTAACAATGTTCTAGTAATTGCAAGAAAGTCAAGAATCAATGAATATTTATCATATAACTACGATAGAAAGTCAAAACATACTTATATAGTTACCCAGCATCAATGGGCATATTTGAAAAGAAATCCCTACCTTACTCTGATGTTTGATATTAACCCTAGCATGTTTGAATCAATCCCAACGCGAAAATCCCTTCGAATCTTGCGTTTCTTCATTCTCTCTCGCTCTCCAAAGTTGCATAGGGTTGAAAACTAATGAAATATGGATAAAGGAGTGTTAAATCATATTTGTAATTGGCTAATTTCATAAAATTTATTGTAAAATCTCAACTTATTCCATAGTTATAATATTTTCAAGTTCAAGATCTGAAAGCGTCATTAAGTGAGGAGTTCAAGTGTCAAAATTATATCATTCAATCTTCATATGCACCTTCATGCTTAGGACAAATGTAATGATCTAGACACCAAAGATGAACACTTAGTTAATTTAACTTAGGTTGATTAGAATAAAATGGAATTGGAAGCAATCTGATTATGAATTTTATGTGATTTTAAAGGAAAATTTTTTATAAATCATTTATGAGTTTTGAAAATATAGTTTAAGTCACAATTATATTCCTCTTTGAGCAACACCCTTTAGTGCTCAAAATGATAAGTTTTTGCATAGGTTTATGCTTAAAAATTTAGAGAGATCGATCTATACTCGTAAGTCTTCGCTAGAAATATTTTTTTATGACTTAGAAAAGGAAACGGGAAAATGTAATGGAAGGCATGGTCACTCGAGCGGTGTCTTCCTTAGTCGTGTTTGAAACGTTGCTTTCATTTCAATGACAATCACCCTATGACCACTCTCCTATCAATCGAGCGGTTATTCACGAATCGGAGTTTTCTTATTTACTAGGACTACCCTTATTTTAGACTTATAAATAAAGAGAGCTTTTCTCATATTTAAGTTAAGTCTTTAGAGATATTTCTAGGAGAGAAACTCATTCTTCTACCTTGAGAGCTTCCACCACAAGCTAGATCCCTAAGATCCAAATACTACCATTAGAAATTCTATTCAACCTCACAAATTAGAGTTGAAGGTCTTATTGGTTTGATAAACCCATTAATGTGTGCATCTTGAGGATTGTTGGCATGCCCATAATCGCTTGAGGCCTAAACAGATCATACGGCGAGGAGGTCCAAGTAAAGCTACACTAGACATCGAAGATGAACTTTCGGCGGAGAAACATAGCAAGGGAATGAGTATCTAATCACAATATTGGTTGAGGTATAAGTTTTGAGTACTTATATGTTAACTTAGCGAGTAATGGATTAGGCTTTCGCGTCAACAAATCACTTGTGTTATTTATTGTTTATCATATACACTTGTGATTATAAGCAAACTATGTGTTTGTGAAATTGATTGTTTAACATCTATTCAATCATAATTGTGCAATTTGAGTTTTGGTATTGAGATCATTGTGAGATGATGGAGAGTGAATTAATTGAATATGAATTAAAATTAATCGTCACAGTTAAAGGTGGTTGCGGTGTGTAAAAGGGGTTCTCCTTTTTTTTTGCATAATACTTGCAAGCAGAGGTAATTGTGGTAGATATAGGTTCTAATTGGTTATCAATTTAGACTAAAATTGAAAAAAAATTATTCACCCTCCCTCTAGGTATAGTATCTTGTGTCTTGTTCTCCACGTGTATAATTGTGAGAGAAGATCCATATCGGGTTCTCCCTCCGGAAACAACAAGCAACGATCTTTTGTATTTATAGGGTCAAAATATAAACAATCTATGTGAGTTTGATCATTGTCAACATCGTGCTTGCGTTCAAACGAAATATTAGCGTTTGAACATGCCTCGTTCAAACGTGAATGGCGTTCAAACATTCTTTACTCCCAATATCTCAATTTATGTTTGGCTTTCTGCTAGACACCAAAATATTGTAGCTAAATCCCGTTCAAATGTGACTCCTAATTCTTTTCAAAACTTCCACTATAGTTTTAACCTATTTAGAAGTCGATTTACAAATTTTTTGTGAAAATACACTTTTATAAATCTTGAGATCTATTTTTCTAATGTCAAAATTTTAAGTCAATCTAATATCAAACTAAAAAGTTATGGTTAAAATACTAGGAACATATTTAGTTATTCTTTTCCGAACTTCTCCATACAATGAGTATAAGATGCAAAATACCTAATATCTACTAATACAACCTATGTGACTTATCTCTAACTCATTATTTATACATGCCACACATAAGATTTAATGTATATAATTATAAATAAATAGGGGTTTACATATTCCTAAGGAGGCCCCAATTTGAATTGGGTCTATTTTTTTGCAGGGCCTTTTCTTTGGTAATTCTCCGGCCTAGAGCTAGCCGATGGCCTATTGTTTTCTAAAAAATGATGAACAATCGAATTCTATATGCCCAAAAAGTTGCAAGAATCTTTGTTTCTAAAAGTGCTACAAAAACAATTGCATAAGTAATGTGGACATAAAACAATAGTGAATTTTGAGAGCCAAAGTCATTGTAGTTGAAAAAATAGCTAAAGATTTCAGTCGACATCACACATTTTTGTGAAGCCTCACATTCAATAATGTACAAGACAAATAAGTTGTTTCAGATCTACTGATATTCTCTTTTGTTAAAAGACTTGGTAAGATCTTCTTATAAAATCAAAGAGTCGAGTTTGAGCTTAATTTAAAGTTTTTTGTGAATATTCAATTTGACTCATTAAATTCTTATTTTTTTAATTTTATATTAGAACTAAAATATTACGGCTTTAGTTATTTAAATAAACTCAAATTGAAAACAATCTCAAAACTATTTTTTAAAATAAACACCACCAAATCATCAACACAACACTCAATTTGCTAGTGCAAATTTTTTTTTTTCGAAGATATATGTTCTGACACATTGATATTTGACACTGCCATTCTTTCTCAAGGTTGAAGGGCATAACCTTAAATGATAGAATTCTTCTAGGGTTTAGAATGTATGTGGTATATCTTTTGGCACTATGTTTATTTGGATACCACCCAAACAGTCATTCATATAAAAGACATGATTTCATGGCCAGTAGTTGCGTTAGTCAGAATTTCAGTATTCGATACTTGAAAACCGTCTAATTAGTACAAATTCAGACTATGTACATCAAAATAAAATTGGTGTTAACTATTTTTCATTGACTTTGTGAACATCTTTCTCCAAAGCCATTAGATGAAATTGATTAAAGGTGAGCAATAATCATGATTTGTCATTAGCTATAAATATGAGTGAAACAAATAAAAAGATTTTCTTAGAACCCTATTTCTTACTCATGTTGCACAAAAATCAACAAATTTGGAACTCCTCAAAAATATTTGAGCTAACCATGAACAATTTAGAGTTGAAAAATATAAACATGGATAAAATCATTTTCGATTCATCAATTTCATTTGCTTCATTGGATACATGGGTTCAAAAACCTAATAACAGAAAAACAAAAACAAAAAAAAAGAAGAAGGAAGAATTACACTCGGACCCATTTATGTTTGTCACTTAATTATTCAAAATTGTTGATATTTAAAATATTACACATAAACACCCTAAAATTTGTAAAACGTCAATATTCGAAAGTATATCCGTTAGTAAATTACACTCAAATCTCCTGAAATTTGTAGGCGTATAATACAAAGACCCCCAAATTTAAAATGTTACATTTAAATAAAAAATATTCTAATATCAAATATAAAATATTAAATATTTTAAATTTTACAACCAAAATTCATGTTCTATTATGACATTTATTAAAACAAGTAATGCACCATGTGCGTTGCACATGAATAATTTTTTTTAAAAAAATTAATAAATAAAATATTTGATATATTTCAACTTGAATTAAATATCATCTTAAATTTATCAAACTTATTTTTTCATCGTTCATGCTCCACTATAGATTTTTTGAAAATTTTGTACACTTTCAAGATTTGTTATTCTAACTTTAAGAAAAATGATAAAATAAATAATTAAAGTTCTATTTTTTTCTATAATTTTGTAATTGAAAGTGATTTTTTAGTGATGTGAAAATTAAATTTTTTAAAATTAATTTGATTAAAATTTCACTTTTAAATCATTGAATAAAATAAAAATAATTATCAATATATCAATCTTATTGAAACTTTATTGTATTTAGAATTAATTAGGTTGTTATAATATATATTATAAAACATATTAAAATTTTTAAAAAATTCAGTTTTTTACATAAAATCTTAACACAATTTAAAAGTTTACTGTAACTAAAAAAACCATGTAAATTACTTATACATTTTTTTTATCTTAAAAATAAAATGGTTAAATATATTGATAAAAAATAAAATATATATATTTAGTCATAATATTATCTTTAAAAACGAGACGAGTAATATTATATTGATGTAGTTTTTAAAAATTTTTAAAAATATTTTGTTAAAACTTATAATAATGTACATATTTTTTAATAGTAATATAATAAATCAAAAAGTTTCAAAAAATTGACAAATAGAAAATAGATAATTAAAAAAATTAATTTGATTAAGATTTCCACTTATAAATCATTGAATAAAATAAATAAAAACAATTATCAATATACCAATCATATTGAAACCTTATTATATTTAGGATTATCTAGGTCAATTGAGATAAAATTTAACATATAATGTTGTAATATATATTGTAAAACATATTAAAATTTTCTAAAAAATTAAATTTTCACATAAAATCTTAACACTGTCTGAAAAAATTTACCGTGACTAAAAAATTATAAAATTATAAATACATTATTTTTATTTTAAAAATGAAAAGGTGAAACATTTTGATGAAAAAATAAAATATACATATAGGGTTAAACATTTTGATAAAAAATAAAATATACATATGTAGTGATAATATTATCTTTATAAATGAGGCAAGTAATATAATATTGATGAAATTTTTGAAGATTTTTTTGAATATTTTGTTAAAATTTATAATGATGCATATATTTTTTAAGAATAATATAATCAATTAAAACTTATCACAAAAATTGACATTTATATATAAGGAATATATAATTAAAAGTGATCTTAGATGTAATTTGGAGATTTAAATGCATAAAGTTATGATGATAATTTATATATTAAGTGTGGAAAAATAGAGTGACCTTTTTAATTCTTTATGAGGGTAAAATAGTGAATCAAAGTTTTTCATATTAAAGTATTTTTATTAGCAGTATAGATATAGATATAGATAAAATCAAAAATAAAGAATATTTTTTTTCTTAAAAATTATAATTTGTATACAATTATACTAACTATTGAAATTTAACGACCAAATTAAACTACTAAATTACCCCAATTAATGTTAGAAGATATTGTGTCTATTACAGTTTGACTCTTTATTTAATTTTTTTAGTTTTAGTCAAATAAATAGCATAATTATACATTAATTATAGTTTTTTAATAAAAAATTAGATTTTTATTTTTGATTTTTTTTTAGTTATAAAATTCATGTTTTATTATGAATGACTTAAACCCCTTATTTGATTTTTTTAGTTTTTTCTAATAGATAGTACAATTGTATATCAATTACGATTTTAGAAAAAAATTAAAATTTTATTTTTGATTTTATTTTATAAAGATGATACAATAGAACATAAATTTTGGTTGTAAAATTTAAAATATTTGATATTCTATTTTTGATTAGAGTATTTTTGGTGTAAATATATCATTTTAAACTTGAGGGGTCTAACTATTATACGCTTATAAATTTCAGGGAGTCTGTATATAATTTACTAAAAAACATATTAACGAAAATTGACGGTAAAATAAATGTTAATGTGTATATAAATTTCAAGGAATTTGTATATAACATTTAGGCTTAATTGCACTGAAGGTTCTCAATATATGAAGTTTGTCTTATTTTGGTCCTTAATGTTTCAATTGCATCATTTTAATTCTTAAAGTATTGAATATATTTTTATTTGGTCTTTCAAGCAGACAATATGTCCTTAAAGTAGATAACATACAGATTACTAACAATTTTTTATCATAAACTTGTCACGTAATACTTAAATATGGACAAAAAAATTATTTTTGATAGCTTTGAAATAAAATTTAGGTAATTCTTGACAAAAAATGTGTAGTATGAATAAATTTTGACCAAAATGTGGATAACTCATTATCAAAATTATGTAATTTGGGTAACTATTTAACTAAAATTTGAGTAGAAGTTTAATAAAAAATTATCTAAATTAATTTTTTATCCATATTTAAGTATCACGTGACAATTTTATATAAAAAATCGTTAGCAATTTAGATGCTATCTGTTTAAAGGACTATATAAAAATATATTCAATATTTCAGCGATTAAAATAATATAATTGAAATATTAGGGATTAAAATAAAATAAATTTCATATTTTGAGAACTTTGGATGCCTTTAATCCTAATATTTAAAATTGTCAAAAACTTAATTGATTAAGTGACAAATTTTGAGGGTATATGTAATTCTCCCAAAAAAAACTTATGGAAAAAAAAATTGCCACGTCATCACCGCCCACCAAAATAGAGTGTCGCGTCTGTACTGGATCCACCTCCCCCCCCCCCCCCCCCCCCCCCCTCCCCCTCCCTCTCTCTCTCTCTCCCTCCTTCATTCTGAGCATCTAACTACTCTGTGTTTTTGCAATGAGCTATTGATGTCTCAACCCAACAAGCGCTCATATACCACCATCAGCACCACCACTTCCACCACCTGTACCGGCGGTGCCGGCGTTGGCAACCACAAATCTCACCTATCCACCTGCGGCAATGCAGAAGGCCAAGTCACAGGCCGTCGCGTTATCTCTAGACGGCAAGAACGGCCAACACACCAGTCACCGCACGTCCACTTCGCTCCCGATATTGAAAGCGCCGTCGTCGATGACCCTAACTCTATGATCGAAGATCCCAACCCAACGATGTCGTCGATGGTTCTTCCCAGCTGGACGTGTCTCCACAAGTGGAGTCACCGCAATTTGTCTCGGAAAAAGGCCACTCCGCCGCAGCCGGCGAAGAAGCTCGTAATTAAGCTCGTGAAAGGTTAGATTGCACTTCTTTTACCTTTCGTTTTGACCAATTTAGGTTTAGTTTTTGTGCGGAGTATTGGAATTTACTGATTGGTTTGGTCGTTGTTTATTCACTGCGGTAGAAATACGGTTTTGAATTTTTGATTGGTGAAATTGGAAGTGGCCAGCTAATGAAATGCGGGTTTAAGCTGACATTGAGAGGTTAACTGAGTAAAATGTATCGTTTTAAGAACCAAAAATGAATAAATTGTGATGCTTTTGTCGTGCCTTTAGTTTAAAAAATTAGATTAGCGTTCATTTTGAAGTATTGATTGCTGAGTTTGGGATTATGTGTTAGTTTGAGGTGAAATTGAGTGGGTAATGGAGCAAATGGTGAATGAATTATGTGCGCTTTTTGCATCATTATATGGGATGGAACTTAGAATCATTTTGATTTACGCTTTGGTTATGTTGTAATAACCTAGGGGATTTGGCATAGTTCTTTTGAGTCATTGAGTTTGGGAAGGTCATGTGTATTGGGCATTGGGCGTTTAAATATCATTGACAGATTTGCTAAATGTGGGATTTGGTACAGTAAGTGCATGTAGTTAATATATTGTTAACAAACTTGGAAAGATTCAATTTTTGATTTATTGTTAGCGAACTTGGACAGACTCAATTTTTGTTTTGTCCAGTTAATAAAAAAATAAAAAATAAAAAATTGTTGTTTGTCAATATTGAATGCAAATAAAGACATATGTCTTGCACGCTATCCGCTT